TACAGTTTGGTGAAGGTATAATTTTTTGTAAAAGATAATAAATAAATAAAAATTAAATTACTACCGTAGCGGTGTTCATAATTATTTTTTTTATTTCATAATGTACTAATACCACATGAGTAAAGAAACCCTACAAAGAGGCAAAAGAGGCAAAGCTACTATAGTATGATAGGTATTTAAATTGCCAAAATTGACACAATACGCATGCACTAAAGCGTTTCAGGAAGGCTTCGTTCTACTAACAGATGTTCGTGATGGCAATAAAAAGTTGTGCAACACTGTAATGTCAGCTCGTTTCTCGTACAGGGCAACGAGTAGCACTTGTTACCAATAAGAGTTGTTACATATTACACTAATAAACTCCGTATAAGTATGAGAAGTGAGTTAAGTGTGAGAGTGAGAGATAAATTAGTGAGAATTAAGATAAAATGACAACATAGCCTGTTAGATTCTTAGCCTAAGGGTAAGGCCTCAGAAGAGAACGATTGGCGAAGCGTGTGACGTGCCATCATTAGCAAAACAAGTCACCGGAAGACCGTAATCTCTGCCTACCCCTCTGGGTGACAGGCGTGTGAGCGTAAATTATGTTATATTTTGAAATCGTAAAAATGTAATCGTACGAAAATATTCCCGATGCATTCCATTTTTAATTAATTACGATGGTTCAATTTAACTCGTAGTAAAATGTGAAGGAAAATTTGAAATAGGAATATTCGTACCGCACGGCTCACAACGTGAGGGAGCGCTCTACTCTCGATATGTGACCATACCTCAATTTCGCTACATAAAATCGTTCTTATACTTTTGGCTAGACATCAAATCCAAATTATTATTAACGTTAAAATAACTACAGACATTTAATTATAAGATTAGTTTATTTTCTAATTGATTCACTTTAGATTACATAACAAAAAATGTAACTGAATAAATATATGGGCTGCCGTCCGTTGGTCTGTGCGTCGTCACGAATTCTCTCGCTTCATAGACGTCGCAATAGATTGAGGTATATAGTATTAAATAAAATTCCATATATTCTAAGGAGGATCCCTATTGTTTTTTGTTATTTAACTTAACATCGTTTAAAAGTTATTAATTAAAGTCGATCAGATTCTCTGTTTTTAAATTATCGTCACTATTTTTATTTTTTTCGTCAAAATTAAATGAAATGCTCATGACGCGTGCATTTTTGGGTTTTTAAACTATTTTTAATTGTAATTAATCGTGTTTTCAAAATAAACTAAATGCCCAGTTTTTTATTAAAAAAAAAAACTATCTAGATGGCCCGTCGTATGAGCATACTCCGTAACACATTATATTTATTGCTTACTCACACCTGCTCGAAATAATCTCTATTAAGGGTCGAAGACATTTAATACGAGTATGTATTTTATATTATCTTTAAATCCGTATATTTGTCAGATAATAAAATATGAATACAAGCCTTTTAAAAAAAGTGGTATAGATTGTTTCATTTAAAACTTCACAACTCTCTCTCTCTCTCTCTCTCACTCGGTATTAAAGGCGACACCGCGAGAAAATGCATCTCCTTTCAGCGAATAGTATAGGATTATGACACGACTAACGAAACTGGAATTTTGATAAAGGTAAATTCACGTCTTTATCTTGAATTTGCTTGTTCAAAAACACGATTATATAATTTTGACTCGATCGTAATTATTTGCTAAATTACATCTAAAAATCACTATAGTTGAAATTACAACGAAATTACTTTATCTATATCACCTGCTCGAAATAATCTCTATTAAGGGTCGAAGACATTTAATACGAGTATGTATTTTATATTATCTTTAAATCCGTATATTTGTCAGATAATAAAATATGAATACAAGCCTTTTAAAAAAAGTGGTATAGATTGTTTCATTTAAAACTTCACAACTCTCTCTCTCTCTCTCTCACTCGGTATTAAAGGCGACGCCGCGAGAAAATGCATCTCCTTTCAGCGAATAGTATAGGATTATGACACGACTAACGAAACTGGAATTTTGATATAGGTAAATTCTAGTCTTTATCTTGAATTTGCTTGTTCAAAAACACGATTGTATAATTTTGACTTGATCATAATTATTTGCTAAATCACCTCTAAAAATCACTATAGTTGAAATTACAACGAAATTACTTTATCTATATGCTTGGAAATCACTCAAATACATTCATAACATCAATATTCGTAATTTGCTTGCTCATTATTTTGATTACTTAAATCAATATTTTTTTTAATATTTTAAGATTGTAAGGGATTTCTAAACGGTCTTAATCGTCGCGGGCGCTACGCAATTTTAGACCTTAGGACGGTGTTTTAATAAGTTTTTATAGAAATTATGTACTAACTCGGATCAGTCCGGCGTCTTAATGATAAATGCTGTCTTATTTAACGCATTAAGTATCATAAACAAATAAAGTAACAATGCTGATTGCTATTATATTATATTTGACATGACCAAAGTGATAAAATATACCAAACATGCATGGGAGACTCCTGCAGTTTTAAATTAGACAATCTCAACCTATTATTTTCTTTCTAAAAGAATATCATAAATAGACTTTAAATTTACTATATAGGGCTATTAAGGCTGTAAATTTACTTTCTTCCAGATGCTGGGCACAGGCCTCCTTTCCTTTTTTGAGAAAATAATGAATTAATGGAGCAATTAGACAACCGTGCTGCTACAGCGCGTTTGGCAGAGTTCACATGTTTTCGAAATATTTTTATTTCTCAGACATACAAGTTTCCTCACTATGCTTAGAGCACACATGGTAAATCATCCCTTAAAATTTCCATTAACAATCTCATTGCTACCGGCGGAGATCGAATCCGTGTTGCTCTCATACTGGTGAATTTAAACTGAGCGCTTAGCCTTGTAAACTACCAACAGTCCTAGATCTTATATATCCTTCACTCAATATAAATAAGCATTATAAGAAATTAAAAATCTTAAGTATCTTGTTAAATTAAAAAATGAAATGAAATGAATATAAATAAATCTCTTTATTTTACTACTAGCTGTTCCCCGCAACTTCGTTCGCGTGTTAGTGTTTTTATGTTTCTGCGCGGAACCCTGATTATTTTTCTAAAATAAAAGTAGCCTATTTTACTCCTTATGAAATCAGCTATCTGCCAGTGAAAGTCCCGTCAAAATCGGTCCAGCCGTTTCGGAGATTACCCGGAACAAACAGACAGACAGACAGACAGACAGACAGACAAAAATTTTAAAAATTGTATTTTGGTTATAGGTATCGTATTTACTTTCATATGCATTTAGTAAAAAACTGTAATTTTGACATTACAAACAGACACTTCAATTTTATTTATTTGTATAGATGTATAGATGTAAGAAATTTAAATCTCAACTCAAAATATGCCTAACGATCTGGAAAGATGAAGATAGGAAAAGCAACGAAGATGCTATTATGGTTTACATACATAAAATGTATTAATTAGACAAATGAGGGATAGTGCACTATCTCAGAGTAATGTATTCTATATGTCCTGTATACACTATACATCTTCTATTAAATTGAAATACTTTAAGAGGCTTTTTACATAAGTTTTACTGCTTAATTTTAAAAACATATAGTGTCTCACTATGTAGTGAAGGCATTAGAAAATCCACTGCACTATATTACAATACAGTGGGTGTCCTAAGAGGCAGATAGAGCGAAACTGAGACAGGAGATGAGTTGCAGCATCTTCCTGCTAAGAGCAAATAATAATGAAAAATTACAGTTGCTAACGTGACTACCCTGCGTTGTAACTAGTAAATAATACAAATATATAGGGGGGATCCCTAGAAAGGAATCTACAAGGTAAGCCTATGTTCAGCAGTGGACTTTGACCGGCTGTAATGATGATGATGAATTATATCATCAACACAATACATTAGTAACTTCTTTGAATAGGCCCATTAAAAATACATTACAATACTTTTTATATCTTACATTTAATGGTCACTGATATTATCATCATCATTACAGCCTTTCACAAGTCCACTGCTGAACATAGGCCTCCCCGAAAGGGAGGTATTTGCCATAGTTGCCACGCTTGGCGAGCGGGTTGGCAACCGCAGTTTTTTTTATTGTAAGTTTGTTGTTATCAGGAAGATGCTGCTGCCCATATCCTGCCTGTTTCCCTTTGTCGCCTTTTACGACACCCACGGGAAGATATGGGGTAGTGGATATTCTTAACCGCCACTACACGGCCTGATATTATGTGATTACTAAATTATTATGTTTTACTTTTAGGTATATTCCCAAAGTTATGGAAACTACTGCATGGTCCTGAATTTTTATTAACCAACTTCCAAAAAAGTAGGAGGTACTCAATTCCAACTTGATGGACGCCAATGGAAAGTCTTACCTTGAGAACATATAACAAAATTAAAATAAACTATAAACAAAGTAAAATCTACTTTGGTTTAACAAACCATATCGCCGTTATACAGCGAAAACCAATTAATAAGTCAAAATCAGCTTTGAAATAAATGCAATTGAAATTTTAGCGACAAAATATTTCTTACAAGAACCAAGATTATGTAAATAATTAAGGTTATTTACGATTGTATCATTTATCCTTTTATGACTGTAATGTTAATTATTGTAATCTACTTAGTAGTTAAAAGCAAAAGTATGTTAACGTTCATAGAGTACCCTATTTAATTGGTTTTCCCTGAAAATGTAGAAATTTTATTTATTGTAATTTACCGAGGAACAGCTTGGATAACACTACCGTTAATGTTATAAACAAATTGTATTATGGTTGTTTACAAAAATACATTGACTTCAATGTTGTATTTGTCCATAGAATTCAAAATAAAACCAAAAATTCGAAAATATACTTGGTTTTACCTGAACTGAAAACTGTTTTGAATGAATGTATTCCCAATGAAATAACCAAAATTATTTTGTTATGTTTAATTTTGGTTTATTCTTAGTTTCGGTAGTTTAAGGATATTGATAATTATTAAATGAAAAGTATAATGTTAATAAAAATGAAGTTTTAATGCTGAAAAAATTAATCAACACAAAAAATAAAAAAATAGTTTAATCCTCATCAGATGTTGCAGGATCTTCGTCCGATACAGTGCAATCAGGTAGCATGTCTTTACATGCAACATTGCTATTCAACCCTTGAAACCAAGCATGCAACTCTTCTGGAATAACTCCTTTGTCACATAGTTGTAACAAGTCTTTTTTTTTTTTTGGCAGCACTGATGCTTAAAGGAGTTTTGTAAAGCTGCAGAAGTTCGTCAGGAAAATATTTTGTTGCACTGGTTTCAGGTGTTACGGACAAATTATTATCGAGAGTCTTTATCTTTTTCGTTCTTGTACCATAACTATGCTCTCTTTGTGTTTCCGGATCTAAATTTGCCCAACCCGTATTTTCTTTCTGTCCAAATTTTTTACAAACGTCAATGGTTGAAAAAGACTCAGACATGTTGTAGTTATAAAATATCTTCGCCTCTCCTTTAATGTACCTCAATCGCTTTATCTTTAACCATTTTACTACTTTTCCGTCTGTATCTCTGGTTGTATTTTTCAGAATTTGGTCCGATAATGCTTTCAAATCTTTGAATTCAAAATATTTCAATTCTTTGACTTTGTATGGTTCCTTCACAACTTTTTTGTTGTCTTTTTTATATTTGTTTTTAGACCTCGCTCTTTTGAATACGTTAATCCAATCCAACATAGAATAGATTGCTGTATTTTTCTGTGACGCTTCGGTGCTGCTATGCATCGAATCTGCCTCCATATACGAATGTCCGCTTTCTAAGAACTTTTGTTCAATAATATTTAAATTTGGTATTTTTTGTACTGCCCATAGTAAAATTGCTGCCACGTTTTTATTGCGATTTTGTCCGCCACACGTGTCCGAGAACATGCTCACTTCAGTTACATAATTCGGTATGCATTCCGATAAATAGTTGTACAAGATCGTCCCTATCTCACAACTTCCCTTTTTTCCATTAATTTCGGACCATGTGAAGCAATGAGCATTGTTAGGTAAAGCACTTTCATAAATTGTTAAATTATACACTGTCAATTTTCTTGTATAATATAAAAGACCAATGTCACCACTAGGAATCTGCAGAATTGCTTGTAAATCGAATGATACTGACACAAACTTTCTTAGCATATTAGCTCTTTCTTTATCTTTAGCTTTTTCATTGTTACAAGCTTCTTTTCTAGCCATGTGCTCTCGATATTCCACTTCCAGATTTGGATTACTATTTGCATCTCCACGAGCATACTTAGTGCATATCAGACATTGGTCTTTTTTTGGTTTAAAGAATCCTAAGTTGAAATCGTTTCCGAAAATTCGTCGATATGTTATCTCAGACACAGGTTTGCTATTACGTTTTTCACACTCTTCAACATAAAGAGAGTACATCTTACCGATGGACAGTTTACAATCTAAGTACATGCGCTTGGAATCTTTCCTTATGTAATGACTTTCCATTGATGGAAACGACCTAATGTGATTACGAACTTCTTCTACTTTTTCAGAGGGTGTTTTATTAGTTGGCGCACGACGTCTACGAGGATCGTTGTCTTGTTTAAAGTGGCCGATGAGATCCCTATTCTTGATAGCATTATGTATCACACTTTGGGAAATGCAAAGAGTTTTGCAGAAAAACTTTTGACAGACATTAATTTTATCTTCTATTTTAAAAAAGCATTGCGTGGAGTAAGCTCTTTTAGTAGTTCGTTTTCTTTTAGTTTTGACTTCCATGTTAGCTAGTAGGAAATTTTTCTGTCCAACGTAGTCTAAGCTCCAAAACCTTCTGCATATGAATATTCTAGCCTCTTCGTTGATTTTATCTGAGCATTCGAACGTGCACTTCGAGCAGTCTATTGCTTTTGGTCTTTTTGCAGGTCTTATTTTGTTTTTATGAGATAAACCGAGCCTTCTGCGCGTCTTTTCTTCGCGACATTAACTTTCCATAAAGAAAGATTAGCTTTTCTCCAGCGTTTAACTTGTTTTGCTCTTTTGCATGCCTCATCAAAAATGTCCATTAAAATAATTGTAGCAATCGTAGAAGAATCGTTCAGATCATTATCGTAATTTTTTTTCCTATCAGCTTCGCCTAAAGCGTCCAAAGCAAGTTCTTCTAATGTTTTTGCAGAAGTAGAACAACGCCCAAGCAAATCATCAAGCGTGATTAAATGGCTGGCAGAGTCTTCATTATGGGTTAAAACTGTGGAAAAAAAGCGGCCGTTAGTTAAAACATCTATATTATTCTAATTATTAATTGCGAAATCACAGACAGACAATAAACTTTTTTTTATATCAAATAAATTTACGATTAAAGCTTCTTTTTCTTAAGTTACAGAGAAAAATCTTTAAAAAACCAGCCAAGTGCGAGTCGGACTCCCACTCGAAGGGTTTCGTACCATAAAACGAAAAAAAAAAACATAGTTTTATTTTATTTTTATTATTTTTTGTTATAGTGGCAATAGAACTACACATTCTATGAAAATTTCAACTGTCTACCTATTACGGTTCTTGAGATACAGCTCGCTGACAGACGGACGGGCGGATGGACAACGGAGGCTTAGTATTAGGGCCCCGTTGGTTACCCTTCGGGTACGGAACCCTAAAAACCGGCCAGGTGTGTTTGACCACGCACAATGAAGAGTTTCATAGTTAGTAGGAACGAAGTTAGGCATCCCAAGTACAAACCTAACCGCTTTTTCCTTTTGAGGTACGGAACCCTCATAGATAAACATACTTCAATATTCTTTGGGATTAATTTATATGGGACCCTCAAAGTATAAATTTTAATAATAATTAAAACTGGATCACAATCGGCAAAGATTATAACATGACAAACTTAAGTATAGTAGAATAATTAGGAACCTCCTTCTTATTTGAAGTTGGTTAAAACTTAATAAAAAGCGTAAAGACCTGAAGTATCAGTTTCATTATCTTCTACAAATGCTTGCGAAATAAGCTGATCATATGCTTGAGAGATAAGTTGATCGTCGCCATCGTCGTCGATTAAACATTCTGTAAAATATAAAGTAAATATTTAAAAACCCGCCAAACAGTACCAATGGAATAAGATTAGTGGTAGGTAATGAATTTAATATATCATGTCACCGATTCCCGCAAAGTAATGTTCAAACCATGCAAAGAAACTTACGGTCCCGCGTCCGTACAAACAAGGCATTCGCCAAAAAAACATAATTTTATGCATTTTCTCTACAGTAAAATTATAGGTACCTACTACTTAAAGCTTAAAGTAGTAGTAAAGTAGTTTCTTTCTCAACTCTACACATTAATCATAGCTATTACAGGCTTTTATTCACCTATCAACCACTTTGTAATTGTCTGTAATATTATAACCTCACATTATCGGCATTAAATGAATTATTGTTTATTAAAATTATTGTTTCTTACCTATCTCGTTTCCATGCTTTGCAAAATCGATATCGACCTTATTGGAACACATCACAATAATAATATTATTATCACTTACACAAGTTACACAACGTATCTAATAAAAAAACTTCAATTAATTGTCTGCCGCCGAAATGCAAGTGCACGAATGACAAACAAGTATAAACAACACAGACGCTAGCGCCACCGCGCGTAAACTGGTTTAATCGTTTTTCGCTGTAGTGATTTCAAGTGGCACTGCCGCCATTACCCTCAGAGAATACCAATTAATTAGTTATAAATATTTTTCATACAAGCATCATTGCGCAGTACACATTATTTAACTGATTTAAACTTTTATAATTGTTTTTACCCGTGGAAAAAAAATCTTTAACGTCGTTAGTTTCTGCAAGAAAAAAAATATATTTAGATCTACGCCTCTTTCGTAGATGAAGGGATTTGTTTAACACTGTTTAAGTCCGTCGGGTAAAAAAAAATAAAACAATGTAATAGTTTGTATCTGCAGTGTGCATATAATCTTACTAAATTAAGTCTTCATAAATGGTTGTTTCTGAGAAATAAAAAAACTAAATTGTGGAACTGCTCTTGAGGTAAAGCCGCCTAAATCGTGGTAAATGAATGTTATTGGAGCAAAATCTTTAGTAGTCATAATTATGTCTGGTTACTTTTTTGTGCATGAGAAATATTCTCGGAAGTGTTCGTAATAATTGATCTTCCAATTGACTATCTCAAAGATTATGCGACTTAGCATTTAATGGGTTTTCGCAGATGAAAGAGCACCAAAAATAGAGTAGGATACTACTGTTAAGTCATTTTTCACAAAATTTCGAGATAACTGGTTTTCGCTGTATAACGGCGATATTATGAGCTGAAAGCCTTAGTTAAATAGCCATATTAAGATTAGTACCAAGAGGAACCCATTAATTTTCTTTTGAATCATAATTTGCAATTGAGTCCTGTCTGCTTTAAGTCTAATATAAGATCTGCCGGTAGAGGAGGATAATTTGTCTTTTCATACTGATCTCATTACGGACAATAGTCATAGCAACATATAAATAGTATAGTTCTACTGGATTTTTATATGGTGAATGATAAGAAATGGCCTTAAGTTATCAGATCCTTTCTGATCCATTTTTATGTAATTTATTTAAAATAATAAAAAAGTCTATTGCTACAGTGATGTGTCTAAAGAAAATATATGTTTCTTTTTTCATTTCAAGAAAGTATGCAACAAAAATTAAAGTTACAAACTATATAAATCCCACAGGTGGACACAGGCCTGCTCTCATTTCTGAAAGGGTTTTAGGGCAAGGAAATATCCGCCTCATTACCCCAATGCGTGTTGGCGGATTTCACATGTCTTCGAAATATTTTTTTTTTGTTACTCAGGCATACAAGTTACCTCGCGATTTTTTCCTTCACCGCCGACTTGTTAACTTGGAACGTTAGTTAGAACAAATTTTGAAATTCCGAGTTCCTTGAAAGACACAGAATCCTAATATTATGTAATTAACGATAAATAAATAGTTTAGAAACAACACCTACCTGTATCGATTTTATGTCCATTAATCTTTTCTTCACTCATTTTGTTGAAGTAGATTTACTTTTATCAAATACTGATAGATGAAATCAGCACAACATTAATCGTTTAAGACACTGTTTACAGCGAATTATGAACTCCACAAATTTCAAAAAATTAAAACATGTTATACGAACAAAAGAAAATCATTGTAAGATTATTAAGTGATTGTTTTTGAGTATAATTGCACTGATGTACACAAATTTTAAAGTATTACCACAGGTATAACTGCGAAAAAGTTCTGTGATAATGGAACTGGATTAAAAATCACTGACACTGATCACTTTGGGATGGGACTACGTCAGGTATCAAACACGGCCATCGGCGAATGCAGGGTGAATGAATGAAGTACTAGACGTGGGCGTTATTTCACGTCACTAGTTACAATAACTGGCTACGCGGCATGTAACCGAATCACTAGTTTCAAGTCATATTACAAGTAGTGATTTTTGTAAATGCGTTATTACTGTGATTGTAGCGAGAGTTAAATGTCGGTCGGTCAAGCGCAAAGCGCACATGTGGCATACAACAATAAACAAAACAGCGTATGTAACAGTATTATTTTACGTTTAATTTTCATACGTTATTCTATAGATATAGACAATATAAATAGAGTGATCTTTGTTTGTAAATGATTTCAACGGTTTGCAATTCCGGGAAGCAATAGTCACATTGAATTCAAGTAAAATAATTTAGTTTGTTTTAGTTCATCGTTGTACTTGTTTATAATTTTGAATACTATCTTGTAAAAATTTACATTTATATGTTATTTTGGTGTTTTATGTACATTTACTGTAACGTTTCTTTGTTATTATATTATATAAATATAATTAGTGTGGATTGTACAAGTTTAAATAAACTGTGAATATCAATAATCATTGTATATACAATCAAATTGACTTGTAAATACCCCTGCATTAATAATTTTATGAAAATCTTAGTTTCATAGTAAATACAAAACAATCATAAATACATTTAATGCAGTCAGTTCTAAGCCTGAATAAAGTATGAAGGGAAGTTAATTTATTGATTTAACTGTATAGCTAGAAACACTTAGATAGTGATTAAATTTATTTTCGTTTCGTGTGTAACTGTATAGTTCTTGGTAGTATTTATGCAAACAATCACAGTAGCCAAATAAAAATAGCCAGTTACAAAAATCACTAGTTTTGAAACAGGTGACGCAGACCAAGTCACTGGTTTCGTTACGTTTCTTGAAAATGACGTAACGACCCACGTCTATGAAGTACTCTGTGGGCGAATGTCAGTGTCAGTGTCATACAGATAAATAAATATGTAGTATAGATATAAGAAATCTATGGTAGTCACAGACAAAGATTATAAATATCAGGACGCTTCTTCTTCTTAATAACTGGCTTTATGGCTCTGGGTTCTAGCCCTTCTGAGCCTGAAGTTACAATGTATAATAATTATCTTTCATAATACACTGCTCGACAATATGTTGATGCGTCACATTGTGCAGCCCTTGGGAGATTTTGACGGCAACTTGAGCCAGCAGACAGCTGACAGTTGGCGATGGTATCTCAAGGTGCCTATGCAGACAGACACCTTAACTTGAGAATCACATCCCCATCAGAGCACTTGTTTCACCGTTTCCACTAATAGTTCACATGCGTAGACATTTAATACACAAAATCGCACCACTTTTTCATATCAAAATCCACTTCAAACCATTATTTAAACAATAATACAGGAGCAGCAATCCGTCGCCGGTCAAGTTCCCGCCAAAACTCCCAATGTCACGACGTCAGGACAGGAAGTCACAGACTAAAACTCAAAAAACTGACAATTAGTGGTGTTTACCAGTTCCTAAAACCGATGAAAAACCAGTTAAGTGAATACCGTTTATTCACCGGTAATATAAAATAGGATTGGGTAAAAAAATCTATATACCTAAATATCGATATTTCTCATTAAAAAAAAAATTCGATATATATCGTCGATATTTTTATTCGCGATATATAGATATTTATTTTTGAGTTATTATATAGTTCCTAGAAAGACACAAAATCCTTATATAATGTAATTAACGATAAATAGATAGTTTAGAAACAACACCTACCAGTATCGATTTTATGTCCAATAGTCTTTTCTTCACTCATTTTGTTGAAGTATATTTATTTTCATGAAATACTGATAAATCAAATGAGAATAACATTAATCGTTTAAGACACTTTGTTTACAGCGAATTATGAACTCCACCAATTTCAAAAAATTTAAATATGTTATACGAACAAAAGAAAATCTTTGTAAAATAATGGCTATCCTATAAAAAAAATTATTAACTCACACCACATACATACGGAATTTTGTTTCGGACTTCCGATTCAAAATTCCGAACGCAGCAAATTCATATAAAATCTATGACCCGTCACACATGTATAGTAGTTTTCCGTCCAAAATTTTACGGACAATACGGGATTCTGTATGTGTGTGGCTAATCCGCTCGGAATTCCGTATGTATGTAGCAGACATAAGTGATTGTTTTTGAGTATAATCGCATTGATGTACACAAATTTTAAAGTATTACCACAGGTGCAACTGTGATAGTGATCTGTAATAATAATGGAACTGGATTAAAAGTAGCTATGAGCATTATAACGTATAGACAGTTATGGAAACGTCTCTTTACTTTACAACGTATAGATAGTTATACATAACGCTCATAACTAGCTATTTCTTATAACGATCCGCAACGCACAGAGTACCTTTGAACCGCAACGCTGCAACGTTGCGTTGGTTTGGAATCGTGATTCGTGATATCATTATAACATCACGCGCTCACTGCCGTACAAAAACAAATGTTATGCCGTGTACGATAAGAACGAAACTGCAGCGGGGCCCATGTTGAAATATGTAGGTGAGCGAAGCGAAATAAGTATATTTCTTTCTTTCTCATTTAGATACTTTTATAACTATTTCAAATTGGCAATGTGTCTCTAATAAAGCAATTTTAAACCTCGTGCTGTTTATTATAAAATTGTACACAGTAAATACGGGTTTTTGCCATATATTGAAAAATCACACTTGTTCCCCAAATTGTAAGGATTAAACTGTATTAATAGCCTTGACCTTGTTCAGACGAAATATTATTATTGACCTTCTGTCCTTCAACTTTTGAACTTGAGTTTTCAAATTAATTGTGTCTCTCTGTATTATTATTTAAGCTTTGTTTTATTTTTTAATTCCAAGTTTATTTCGAAACATAAAGCACGCATTGTGATATTAGTGTTCATAAAACATTCTTGCACACAATCATATAAATATTATTAATTATACCTTACTGCATGTTTTAAATTGTGTAATTTTTTTTTTAATTCTGATTTAATGTAGTAATCACACACACACACACACACACACACACACACACACACACACACACACACACACACACACACTCGCTCACTCACTCGCTCGCTCACTCACTCACTCACTCATTCACTCACTCACACACACTCAAACATTCTTGCACACAATTACACAAATATTATTAATTATACCTTACTGCATGTTTTAAATTGTGTAGAATTTTTTTTTAATTATAATTTAATATAGTAATATAATTGTACTACGGAAGAGCGGGTCCCTCTACTACAGGTATCTATTTACCTAAAAGAGAGTACCCAACAATATTTTAACAACTTACTACTTCTTTTAAAGCAATAAATTATTTATTATTATTATTATAAAAGAAATCTAAAACGAACAAAAAACTTTGTAGATAAATGTTTATTTCATTTAGTAATTGTAAATTTTATATGTGTAATACACGTTTTCTTAATCAAATTCTTATGGATTATTTGCAGGTTTAGAATTATGTTTGTGTATTTAGTAACGTACCTGCCACGGACCCTCAAATTATACCTCTGCATTTTGTAAGTTATCATATAAATTATTTTATTAAATTTTATTAAATATATTTATACATAGCACCATAAAACTGAAGTGTTTTATATGGCTAGTTGTGAGAACCAGAGACCCTTTTTATTGGTAACAAGGCATTCTTTTGTCTTCAAGGGTGACAATGCATTTGCATTTTGATACTTTTACAACCGAGGATTAATGAAGATGTCTGTGGGCTACAGCACAGCATAGCAGTAACTTAAAAATACTGTACAGAGTATGTAATGATATTTCATTTAATAATATTTCAAATATTTATTACAGCTCATTATTCGGATGTGCGGCCAGTGAGCAAAACACAGAAAAATACTTCTGAAATAGTATCCTTTATTGAGGACCTATTTGACAGTGTGAAAGGAAGTGCGGTGATAAATAAAAAAGAACAGGGAAAGATTGAATAATTTTGGCATTCTGGTAGCAAGCTTTGTTGGAACAACAAAATATAAAATTTACTAATGAAAATGGTCATGAATGTACATTGCCCAGTATAAAGAACTGAATAAGTACCAGTACCATAAAAATATTTAAGAAATTGTGGCAGATTTTTGTCCAAGAAAAACATAAAAGTTATGAGATTCGAAAACTTTTTCATTCAAATAAGATCATACAATTTTAAATTCCTGATTTGCACAATTTCATAACAATGCTTTTAAATCTGTATTAATTACTGGATTAATAAAGATTTACCGCTCATATTTTAATGGTGAAGATGATGTTAGCGCACAATTATTAAAAATAAAGAGCCTGTTTGACGGACATGAAAAGGAAGTGAATAATGAAAGTGGTGAAACTGGTTAATCTTATATTGATACTTATCCATTAATTCTAGAAACAAGCTGTTGGCGTCTAAAATTACAGTCTCGTGCTTACACTGCAGAGTGGGTCATAAGAAAACTTGTGTCAAAAATCAAGTGCCACGTACAGAAAAGACCTCACCACAAAAGAAAATACTTAGGTTCATAAGTGGATTACACAAAGAGAGTGTAAAAATATAGCAAGAAAAAGGTTGACATATTCAGCAGCATCAACTTTTTTCTTTATTTGCCGTTAGATATTTTGGTAATGTTTTAATAAAACTAATAGTTATCTAGAAAAACACCACCATTTTAAAATATTGGTCGTAAAATAAAGAATGCAATATTAAATAAATATCGTTTTGAGCATATTACATGCCGAAAGCATAGGACGTAATAGACGCTTATCAATAATAATAAAACTAGGAATAAATGAATATTTTTCTACTTATGTTTTGCAAAACTTTTTGTTGTTTCTTTATAACTGGTGCACTACTATGAATAAAATTTTAAACGGTGTAGATATTGTTCAAGGCAACTACCAGAAATGCAAGGTAAAGCTCTGTTAAAATATAAGAAAAATATGAAAAATAAAGTGAATAAATAAATTTCAACATTGTTTCATTTGCATTTACCTCGTTTTTTTATTTTCAATATTTTAAAATAAAATTTTCAAGTAATTAATAAATGAACTTATATGGGACGTCCTTTGCCTGGTATCGTTGCTTCAAATTAAAAAAAGAAATGTCAAATATCATTTTGCTACAACTAATCAGGATGCAGATGTACGATGAGCCAAACGTAATTAAGACCATAAAGTTCGGATGCCTGCGTTGAGCAGGGCACGTGTTGCGAATGGACGAGGCCAGAGTACCCAAACACCTCTTAGAAGGCCGACCAGAGGGCCGCAGAAGTCGAGGCAGGCCCAAGCTCAGATGGTTGGACGGCGTGGAACAAGATATCAAGATTTTGGGAATAACAAGTTGGAGAAGGAAAGCCTCTAACAGATCGGACTGGAAGGCTTTGATGGACCAGGCTAAGGCCCACCCGCGGCTGTAATGCCTCAGATGATAATGAATCAGGATGCAGAAGCTAAATCGAGTAAGTTTAGTTCGTGAGATGTCCGTCTGATTCGGTTAGAATCTTCTAGTTAGTCTGTGGCATAGAGAAAAGTACAGTGCCACCAACTTATCTGTTCAGTTGACAGAGTCGCTAGTGGAGTGCTTACTATTGCCATTTAAGAAATTTACCGAGGAAATAGGTGACTACATATTCATTGCAAATAATGTAAAATAAAACAAATTTCGTGTTAATATATTAAAATTAGTGTTATTATATATATATTATTTATATTTTATAAAAATAATTGTGGTTGTGATCTTGGAGTTCAAGCGGCAGAACTCCAGGAATTCCTGTTTTGAATGATGGGGTACATTAGCTACTGGTGACAACAATTCATCTTCTGCGTCACTGGAATCACTTTCACTATCGCTCTGTAACTCTGTAATAAAGGGTTCATCTAAATACGCGTCTTTTTGTCTGTATTCATTTTCATTTTTTTTTCACTATTGATTTCCACTCCACCAGAGTAATTTTATGGTCTGCATCTTCAATTATTTGGGGCATTTGAACATTAGGTTTTCCAACATTTTATCTGCTACGTTCCTTTTCATAGAGCTCCATATTATTTCAATTGCGTTCAAGTCGCAATGATCAGGTGGCAATCTAAGAATATTATGGCCATGACTTTCATCAGGCTATTAATTCCATATTCCGGAGCAGGTTTATTTCTCTTTATTAACTCACATTTTTTCATATTTTTTATTTATTTCCGTATGGTAGGAATTTCGTTTCACACTGAATAAAATTCGTGAATTTTTCTTTTTGTCCAATGTCAAAATTATTAATTTCTTGTTTCCCGGTTTATCTTTGCCTTTTTTGCCAGGGGCAGAAGTTTTAAAATTGGATTCTTCAGCGTGTTTTACTTCATTGACGAGTTTGTGCACAAATCGCTCAGAAACACCTGTAAGAAAACGACAAATAATTATTATATAGGTATAATTATGATTTTTTATATTTACGCGAACACTACACATTTTTAAATAAAACTAATTTTACGGATTTTATCGCGTATATTAATCTATTTTTATATTCCCGATGTTTCGGGTGCTTTCCAGCACGCGTGCTGGAAAGCACCCGAGCGTTAATTAATCAGGGTTCTGAGGTGTCTTTGATCACTGAGGCAACCGTTTAGTCATTAGGTCTTGATCGAACTCCTGTTAATGGTATAGTTTCCGGTGTAGGTGAAGGTGAAACAAGAACCAGGTGCATGGTATCCTTTAATATTGAGTCTTTGCTTAATCCTGAGTTTTCATTTCCAGTTAGAGACGCCTATGTGTTGAAGAGTTTGACTTCATTACTGCCTTCGCGCAAACCTGCAAATCTATATTGGCCTGAGCTTGATAATCGTTCACTAGCTGATCCACAATATAGATCTCCTGGTAAAATAGATGTCATTTTAGGAGTCGATGTTCATAGTGGGATAATTAAAGAGGGTCTTAAAAAAAGCACGCGTGCTGGAAAGCACCCGAAACGTCGGGAATATAAAATATAGATTAATATACGCGATAAAATCCGTAAAATTAGTTTTATTTAAAAATAGGTATAATTAATTAATATAAGCCCGTAAATATGCCCTCACTAAAGCTACTTCCTAGACTACAAACTACAAACGGTATTGATATTGATAGTAAATTGAGATAATTTTATGATCACGAGTACATTATTTGGTGATTTTACTTTTCCATATCTGGCAATACTAACCTTTCGCAGTAGCAACGCGTTCACACAGCTTTTTAAATGGTATAATTGGAGCTTGTAAATGTTTTTCTTCTTTCATAGGACGTAAAACTTTTAAGATAATCTGCCGCGTATCACTTTTAAGACCTGTAGGCATTTTATATGTACTTTTTAAAAACACTGAATAAAAAATGGCTGACAGTGATATGTCATTTACAAAATGGCGGCCTTAGTTCCAATTTTGTCCACCTGAACAGATAAGTTGGTGGCACTATAATACATAATGTACTCTGCGGTAATACATCAGGAAGTCTGTGGTAAAAAATTGCTTGCTACATATATGAGGCTCAGAAGGGCTAGAACCCAGAGCCGTAAAGCCAGTTAAAAAAAGCTATATAGTAAAATATCAGAATCAGAAATTGTGTTAAGTTGGTGATAGAAAATAAATTACTTATTACAATTCAGAGAAACCGCTACATACGTTGATTACGTTGTGATACGTTAACAAAGTTTGCATTAAAATGGCAGACAAGAGGAAAACTAAAAAACGTAAAGAGGTATGTTTTGTATTTTAGACTTTCAATCCGATGATACAGTTAAAATTCATCACATTATTCATTTCAATTGTTTTGTTACATTTCTACAGCGAGGTTTAAAGTTTCACATTTTTGTTGAATCATTTATTTTTGATTTGTGCCTAAATTTGTCTTCTTTTCACTACATAATATGACGTTTACATAAAAACGATTGTGCGTATCAATATGAACGTGACGCAGTTATTTCCATTTTTGTACATTACGTTGCAGAATATAACGAGTATTTATGTATTTAAAATTTCTTTATTCCGTAAAAAGGCTGTTGTCGGCCTTCTACAGTTTTTAGAATAGATTAATCTAGAATTCAATCATATCTATATATTATGTTTTTATGAATATTTATATTATTTTGATACTTTTATTATTATCAAAATAATTAGCAGCACGTAAAACTGCGTTGCCCATATACCTTACCTCTAATAGTAAACTATATTATTTTATAAAACTTATCAATTATTTTGTTTGTTTACAGAAAAAAAAGGTTTGATAGATTTTATTTTTCTCTTAGTAGTTAGTTTTTTTTAATCAAAAATTTCTTTAATATTTTGCACACATTTTTCACAATATAGTTTGCCATTAAATCTATAAAAAACCTTATTATTTTCCTAACGCACGTTTACGTTAGTTTTTAGTTAGTATGTAGACAATAATTTTGTGTTCTTTCTTCTTAGATAATTGGGTATGATTTTTAAAAGCACATATCATTAACTTTATTTAGAAATCAGTAAAAGCTTAATATTTACCTAGGAAGTGAATTTATGTTGCTTTAGATGGTAGTTTATGGGTTGTAAAGGTTTAAAATAAATTTATTTTAATCATTAAAGAAAAGTTCCATTCCTCAATTTTGTGAGAAATAAATATAGCAACATTAACACATAATATTAGGTTTTAAAAATTGCTGCAGTAGATATATATATGAAATATATTATTATAATATATTAATGTTGATTAAAAGTTTTTTAATTGATAAATGAATATCACTTAAATTAATCTTCAGTATCAGGTGTTTCAATATCACTTGGACCAACCAAGCAAAACTTTGTGTTATTCAGGAATCTAGTCAAAAAGTTTATTGATGCTTTTTTTACATCAAAAGGAACAACCATTGTGATATGTGTTCTCAATAGACAAAAACAAATTGTCTAATTTCTAAACTTAAACAAGTTTTCTCCGGTTAAATATATTGATGAAGTTGTATACTGTTATTGTGCCCCTTTCTTCTTGATTAAGTGCATATTATCAGATGAGACTACAGAAAAAACATTCTTGTAAAATTTATCCCAATGTGTGTATGTGTATTACACTATCTGGAAAGGGTAGAATGTCTGCTAAGGGTGTAACCACACTAATCTATTGATGTCGATCAATGCCATCAATTGATGTCAATCAACGCCATTGATCGACATTGTCGATTATTGAACAATGTTTTATCGAATAGTATCAATCAATCGACATTGATCCATGTTGATCAATAACATTGATCGACAATAGTTTGATTGGTGTGGTAACAATCTAAGCCAGCTGGTTTAAGGTTAAATGTCACCTACTCATAAATATTTCAGTACAAAAGATGCCTTAATATACATTAATACTTCTAACGAATAAAAAAACACTACAAATTTCTATTATATGTTCTATTGTTCTACTAGCACTTCCATCAGAAAATATGTGTAAATATGTAAGTGTTTGAAATATAATCTGCATACTTCATAATCAAGGATCAAACCTTATTGAGTGCTTTCATCTGTTCATAATATGCATATACACTGTACTTACCAGTTGTATTATTGTTAATGTTGAAAACATTAATGGTGAATTAGCCTAAATAGTGTGCTGAGTCTGCATATAATTCATAACTGTGGATTTTTCAGTTTTAGTTCATCAATGTTAAGTTGAAGGGTTGATTGAAGATTTTTAAATAGAATTCATACTCTACATGCTGATCTACTATTCTGAATACCTTCTCTACATGAGCTTTACATTCAGTTTTCACGAGGAAATGTCTATTCCCTCATATATACAGTGATATTTAGTAGAATTTATGGCTAAACCCCCTTGGACCTTATGGCTTGACTTCCTTCTTCTGTTAAAAAATATCATCAGATTTCAATCAAATTAAATTCTCTTCAATTTAACCCTGAAAATAAGGACTTAGACTAGATTTCTAGGTGCTGCATTTGTGTTTTACAAAAACTAGTGACTACAGCATTTAGTACTTAATACATTCTATACACAAACAAAATAAACCTATCCTATCCATGTGGATTTGTGTGTACATAATAATAAATGAAAAAAATTGGTGATGGTGATTTCTGCATGGCCCATTCATAAGATACCCATTTTAAATTTTCTTTCAATCATGTTTTTCTTCATTTCTCATCCTTTCAACTTCTCAGGTGCATTATGTTCACTATTTGTAAACATCCTTTGTTTTAATTAACACCACAAATAACTAACAAAATGAATAAACATCATAACAGTCTGTAATTAAATGTGTGCAAATAATGCAGCAGTGACAGTGTGAAACTGTTTGACATTGCATTCAGAAACACTGTAATTTGTTACATCGGTTATGGCATTTTTAAAATGTTTACAAAATCCATGTTTTTCATTTTACATGATATATTAGTGCTACATGAGGGAGCCAAGTAGTCGATTGTTTACTTGGCGGTGTGCGACGAGGCGTTGTCGTGATGAAGGAGGATCCTACTGCGAGGTCGTTTCTCCCGATCTTTTTCCAAGACAAGTGGCAAACAATTGTTAGTGTATCACTCTGCAGTAACTGTTTTTCGATCCTCTAAAACAATTGTTGCGTAATGACCTGTCCATCCGAAGAACGAGGCCACCATCTTTTTTCCCACGCTTCGACCTCTCTTCACTTTAGTTGGTAACTCCTCGGAAGGAAACACCCAGACAGCAGACTGGCTCTTAGTTTCAGGATTATAACAATAAATCCAGCTTTTGTCACCCGTAAGTATATCGAAGACAGCATTTGAGTCACCTCCGTTAAATCTTTGAACTATTTTACGACACCAATCAACACGACGGAGTTTTTGGGCCTCTGTCAAATTATGAGGTATCCACCGGGCACAAAGCTTCCTGACCGCTAAATGTTTATGGAGAATTTTGTGCACTTGACTCATACCGCTGCCTAAGCTTGTCCGAATCTGCTGATAAGTCACCCTTTTGTCAGTCTCTATCATACGCCATACAACACTGATGTTATCTTCAGTCGTCGCCGTAGAAGGCCGTCGCTCACGCAGATCATCGGTGAGATTAGTGCGACCACGTTTAAACTCATCAAACCAGTTGAAAACAGTGGCACTAGATGGGGCTTCATCGTGAAAGGCCAATCGAAGTCTACCATAACTTTCTTGTTGACTTAAATTACATCGAAAGTCATAAAAAATCATTGTACGAAAATTTTCTCGCGTTAAATTCATGCTGACGTGACACAGACAATTTTCAATTTGCCGTCCAATCGTAAAAAAATGTCAAATTAATAAAATACATACACAATAATATTGGCATAGAGTTCCATTTTCAAAATTTGGACTTATTTTTTTTATTATATCGTTTACAAGTGGCCATATGTGGCGACGCTGTCGTCACACCACAAGCGAAACACATCGAAGCCTAAATCGCACTAACAAAGTTCCGAAGTTAAAGCAGCATAATATATAGAATAGCTCCGGACTACAACCTGGAGCGTTGGCCGCTCCCCGGGCAGAACACCTTGCACGGCGGGAGAACTTCCCTTTTCCTTCCACCCGCCACAGTGGTGACCAACCGACGTGATATGAACACGCAACCAACAACCTTCAGAAACTACAACTTCAAAACCTTCGTCATTGTCCTCAAGTACCCCATTCATTCGCTCCCGAGCAGATATTGTCTGCAGTCTTCACATTCTGCAAGCCAATCTAGCTTTACAAAGGTTCATCGCAGCACTGGAATAATAATGCTTCCTGTTCCTTCAAGCTACTCTCTGCGTTACAGTGTTCGGCACGGCTCTGAGCCTTACTGCTTGCCTTTGCTTCACGGCATTCTCGCAGATTACTTGCCTTCTTCTCGACTCACCGCAGACTACAAGGCAATCCCTGGCACTTGCAATCGGACTGCACTATCGACCTCCGGTCTGAGCAGGGGGGTGATGTGGCGGTGCTGTCGTCGCACCACAAGCGAAAATTATATCATAATAAAATCAATAAAAACCCCGTGTAGTGGCGGGTAAGAATACTCACTACCCCATATCTTCCCGTGGGTGTCGTAAGAGGCGACAGAGGGAAACTGAGGCAGAGGATGGGCAGCAGCATCTTTCTGATAACAGCAAAACAACAATAAAAAAACTGCGGTTGCCAACCCGCTCGCCAAGCGTGGCAACTATGGCAATATATCCCCCATGAGCAATGACATTAATAAACGGCCCCCAGTCCCCGGCGGCCCCGCTATTCCTGGCTACGGTGGCGACCATGGTAACGGCGGGGCAGGGGTGCTAAGAATCTCCGGTGGAGGTTCGGTTGCCACCTACGACGACTCGACGTGGCAACTTATAACGCACGTACCCTGAGGACTGATGAGAAGATCCTGGAACTAGAAGAGATAGACAAGTTGCGCTAGAATATCATAGGATTATCCGAGGTCCGAAGAGAGGGGTGGACACGGTTAACCTCGAATCCGCCAACTTGTTCTATCACCGGGAGGGCGACCATCTGTCCCAAAGAGGTGTCGGATTTATCGTCCACAAGTCTCTCGTTAACAACGTTGTAAAGATTGGGAGTGTATCGACGAGCGTTGCGTACTAAGGTACGCAACCTGTATGACCTTCAGCGAATACCGTTTGGTGATTCTGAGTATAAGTACTCAGAATCACCAAACGGTATTCGCTGAAGGTCATATAGGTGTGGCGGCGCTGTCGTCGCGCCACAAGCGAATCACATCGAAGCCTAAATCGCACTCACAAAGTTCCGAAGTAAAATATATATATATATATATATATATATATATATATATATATATATATATATATATATATATATATATTATAATATAACATATTGGTCTTTCCACAAACTGAGCACATAGTTGCAATTAGTAATATTGTGTAATTAATATAAGGATATCTTATATTTACGCTAAGACACATTAAATGAAACTAATTTTTACGGATTTTATCGCGTTTAATTTAACTTTTTAATTCCCGAGGTTTCGGGTGCTTTACAGCACCCATGGTCACGGGGAGGGGGGAGTGGACTGAGGTGTATGACGTCCCGATGTCATAGTTAGCCCGGCTACCTCCAGTTTCTGAATATTCATTTTAGTTCCGATCTACGCAGAATGAGCTTAGGTGTTGACGTCCCGATGTCATAGTTGGCCTGGCTACCTTCAGTTTTTGAATATTAATTTTTGGTCCGAGATTCGCAGAATGAGCTTACAGTATTTTGAAGTCTTGCAGTGGTATGCTTGGGTTTGGATTTAATTTTATATAAATTATAGGATCCCAAGCAGATGGCAGCATCCATCCATCTCCTCTATTGAAATTAGGATGTTTTTTTAATTTAATTTCAATAGCCTCGCGAATCATCCATAGTAGGAATCGGTGTTCTTTTGCGAGGATTTATGGTCTCTCAAATCTAACGTAATGGCGGGGACGATATTGAACATGTTCACACACTGCAGACTTCCCGGACTTGAAGCATGCTTGTAGCATGAATGGGTCGGTTCGACCGGGGCACACTCACAGAATACTAGCGTAAAATTGCAGCTTAATGCTGCCATGTTTCGTATGGTGAGTGAAGAGAACCGGAGGTCTTTTTTAATGAAAACGAGGCATTCCATCTTAGTCATCAGGGATGACAACGTATCTGCATTTTGATTCTTAATCGAGGATAAATGTAGATGTCTATAGACCACAGCAACGCATCAACTTACCATCAGGTGGACTGTGTGCTCGTTTGTCACACTTATTCTATAAAAAAGGAGGTTTTCGATTATGTTATTATGTAGTGTATGATTTTTTTTGTATGTATGAACCAATTTTGATGATTCTTTTTTTTAATAAAAAGGTTATATTTCAAGGCTGGTCCCATATAAATTTGGAAAAATATTTCACCCCTAAGGGTAGTTTTTTTAATTTTTTTTTGCAATTTGAAGTCAGTTTTTACATTTTGTTAAAAGTTATAATTATAACTTATTATAAGCCAGTGGTTGGTTATAATCCTACTTGGTGATAAGTGATGATAAATCCACAGATGATAAATTATGGTCTTAATATAAGTAATGAGTATTCACTCTTGACTTGAAGACCGCCATATTGTAATTTTTTAAATGTGGTGGCCATGCTGCAACTGATGACCTTGAAACGGCTGAACCGATCTTGATAAAACATGTCTAAGAACCACCACTAGAAAGAGCTACGGTGTCACAGACAGACAGACAGACATAGCGGTCAAACTTATAACACCCCTCTTTTTGCGTCGGGTTTAATTAAAAGTGTAAAACATATTTTAAAAACTAAAATAAATAAATAACAAATAAAAATATGTTTTGGCAAAGACTTGACTGCGTGCGGATTACTGCTCCTGTATGAAATAATATATTATAAACTAGCTCGCCAGGCAGACGTTGTTCTGCCCTTTCCAACGACCCTTCCTATAAAAATCCTTAATACGCAATAAAAAAAATTTAAAGGGTCATTTATCGGGATATAAACGATCCTATGTCTCAAGTTGGACCAAACTGCACACAGTGTGCAAAATTTCATTGAAATCAGTTCAGTAGCTTAGGAGTTCATCGCGGACAAACAACGTGACACGTAATTTTTATATTTATAGATAATAGCTTGCACTTCACATAAGATTTTGATACGTAAAAGTGGTGCGAATTTATGTAGTAAATATCTGCGCATGTGAAAGCTATTAGTGGGAACGATGAAACAAGTTCTCCGATGGTAAAGTAAAGCACATGTTATTTTGCCTGTTTAGACGTCTTGAGGTACCGTAATAATGGATTGTCTGCTAGTTCAAACTGCCGTTAAAATCTCGAAAAATACTTCGCTATTTTACACCTTACCATATTTTCAAGAAGTTTTAAACAAATTATTATATTTTTTTTAATTGATTATTACGTCACTCTGGCAAAAGTACAACTGTATCAGTCCATTACCACAGAAAAGAATAAAATGATTTCTACCTAATAGCTCCTGAAGTCTGATCTTTAATTCTCCGATACACTATTAATTATGTATAAGTTAGCACCTTAGTATTTAAAGGCTGTTTTTATTTTTTAAATTTACGTGGTAAAGCTTATGGTGCAGCTATGTTAGTAGTATAGTTGTAGCACGAATGGGTCGGCTCGACCGGGGAAGGACCACGCTCTCACAGAATAGCGTAAAATAGTGGCTTAACACGCTGCTGTGTTTCGTATGGTGAGTGTAGAGAACCGGAGACCTTTTTACTGGAAACTAGGCATTCCATCTTAGTTCATACGGGTGACAACACGTCTGCATTTTGATTCGTAATCGAGGATAGATGTAGATGTCCATGGGCCACAGCAACCACTTACCATCAGGTGGAATGTGTGCTCGTTTGTCACTCTTATTCTATAAAAAAACTTACATTTTGTTGTATTTTTATATTTTATTTTAAATTTTTAAATGTTTATCTATACTATACCTAATGTTATAAAGTGAGAGCCATGGACGTATAAAAAATAACCTTTTTTTTATACGTCCATGATGAGAGCGTGAATTTTGTGAGTTTGTTTATATGTTGAAGGTAATCTCGGGAAACCTATTAGAGAAATTGTTTCACAATTTGAAAGGTACATTATTGAAGATGGACATAGGCTATATATTATGTAATATACATTTATTATAGCTAAAAGTTATAATGATATTCGTCAACTAAGTCGTGAAAAAGTCACGCCTCTTGAGAGCTTCCATGGCGTGCGCTACCTCATTAGTTAAAGTTGCACGAAAAATAATGTACGACTGAATTGTACCTCTTGAAAAGTTCTAAAAAAAGTCATATAGCATATTTTTCTCTTGTAAGGACAATATACAGTAACCATTTTTAAATAAAAACTTGCACGGCGTGTTTGGTAATGAGGAGAATTAATTTATTTTAAAACTAGAAAACGGAACAAACATTTGATATACCATGAAGTTTTAAAATAAATGATACCTACGAAATGTGATCCGACGCACAAAACAATTTCTCGGAAGTGATACATGACATTCCGGCATACATAGATAATACGCTATATACGCGGCATGTAATCTTAGTCCTCAGGGGGGGAAAAGCGTCTGTATTTTATTTTGATGTAGGTGTCTATGGGCTACATTTTCCTTATCCATTCGGTAGATTGTGTGCCCGTTTGTCGATCTTACTTCTATATAATTTAAAATTAAAAATTTTGTCCAACCAATTTTAATATACATAAAAATAACTCAAAAACTATTAGTCAAATTTATATGGGGCCACCTGTGAAGCACCAGCTTTCAAATAAAGAAAGAATCATCGAAATCGGTTCACCCAGTAAAAAGTTATGAGGTAACACATTAAAAAAAACATACAGTCGAAGTGAGTACCGGCTCCTTTTTGAAGTCGGTAGAGAAATAAACATATTATGCTACAATCGCTGTGGTTTGTTATAATTTAATTTTATTTGTAATTTAATTTGTAAAAAAACCGGAAAATTACAGTTATTGATACTAAATTTTCACTGCCTCTTACATAGTATAAAACAAAGTCGTTTCCCGCCGTCTGTGCGCGTACATCTTTCAAACTAAACAACGTGTTTTGATGCGGTTTTCAGACTGAACTTCTCTTAAATGGCTGGACCAATTTTGATGAAATTTTGTGTTTGTGTGAGATTAAGTTGATTAGAGAATGGTTTAGATTCATAATTCGTCGCTAACGCCGTAAAGGAACCTCTTTTTTTTTAAATTACAGAAGAGTAAGAAAACATTATTCCCCGATTAGTAGTTTTTTTTTTTTTATCAGAATATTAATCGTATTTGTAGTTTTACATTACATTTACAGCGAAACCTAACGTCGAAACGAAGCAAACAATGATTTTCACCAGAGTTATACAATAGCACTGTAATTTTCCTGCAATCGTACCTACCGCTTAAACTTATCGTCATAGGTCACTAATGCCTATGATTTTAACACATTTATTAGCACTTTTATTAG